GCCGCCACCGCCAGTGTCGACGACGGCGAGGAGGAGGACGAGAAGGAGGAGGAGAGCGAGGAGGAGGAGGATCGACGATTTTGGACGTGCTTGTCCTTCCTGTTGGGGCCTCCAGAAGCCAGGTCACCCGCGGGTGCGCGAAGGTCATCGCGCTTCTTGCGTCGAGGTCTGGGCCTGAGGGCTGCCCTTCTCCACCGTGGCCCCTCGCGAGGGTGCAAAGATAGCCGCGCGTCGCGCATCGCGTGGCGCTATGCGCGAAGTTTTGTGACCTAGAGGAGGAGGAGGAGGAGGAGGAGGAGGAGGAGGAGGAGGAGGAGGAGGAGGAGGAGGAGGAGGAGGAGGAGGAGGAGGAGGAGGAGGAGGAGGAGGAGGAGGAGGAGAGGAGGAGGAGGAGGAGGAGGGAGGAGGAGGAGGAGGAGGAGGAGGAGGAGGAGGAGGAGGAGGAGGAGGAGGAGGAGGAGGAGGAGGAGGAGGAGGAGGAGGAGGAGGAGGAGGAGGAGGAGGAGGAGGAGAGGAGGAGGAGGAGGAGGAGGAGGAGGAGGAGGAGGAGGAGGAGGAGGAGGAGGAGGAGGAGGAGGAGGAGGAGGAGGAGGAGGAGGAGGAGGAGGGAGGAGGAGGAGGAGGAGGGAGGAGGAGGAGGAGGAGGAGGAGGAGGAGGAGGAGGAGGAGGAGGAGGAGGGGGAGGAGGAGGAGGAGGAGGAGGAGGAGGAGGAGGAGGTCCGTAGCCATTTTGGCTCAAGTCCGTAGCGTTTGCTCAGGACGAGAGTTTTCTTGGCAAGGGGATCCGCGGCCCCACCTGCTCCACACCTCGGGACTGTATTGAGGTCTCATCCCTCATCGCCTTTGCGCACCTACGGCGTGTGTCGCACCCTCCGCGGGTGCGAGATGGCTTATTGGCAGCAGTCTTGTTGGTGTTGTCCCAACAAACAGTGCAAATTCAAGTATAATTATGAGTGGCGTGATCAATGCCTCCGGTGTGGCAAGGACAAAGGCGGCCCCAGCCAGCGCGTGGTCCAGCCTCGCGGGGTCTGGGCTGGTGGCGTCTCCCCGTCCGTGCGTGCGCCCAAGCCGAAGGGACCTCCGCCCCTCACCGACGAGCAGGTCCGTGCCTATGCCGCCATGGACCCCGTTGCGTATGAGGCCGTGGCGGGTACGCTCACCCAGTCGGCGCGGGACCGCATCCTGCTCTCGGGAGATCCGCAGCTGGTGTCGAGGGCAGCACAGAAGGAGAGCGACGTGCTCACGGATCGGCTCGGCAAAGTGCAGAAGAAGTTCGACAAGGCGCAGGAGAATCTGCAACGAGCTGTCCGCTGGGCAGCAGAAGTTGGTGCTGAGCTTGAGGAGCTCCAGCAGCAGCAGAAGGAGGCGGCCGCGCGCGGGGCAGCAGCTCTGGCGAGGGTGGGCGGCACGGCCGCCGCCGCGCCCTGCACGCCGCCTGGCCAGTGCGACGGGCTGCTCCAGCAGGCTGGGCTGCTCGGCGACACCGAGCTCGAGGCAAAGCTCACGGAGGTGGCGGCGCAGCTGGCGCACGCTCAGCAGGAGCTGCAGGCGAAGGCCGCGCAGGCCCAGCACCCCCCCCCTGCGGCGCCCGCTGGCACCGCCCCGTCTGGCGGTGCCCAGCCTGGCGCCGCCAGCGCGGGCCTCCCCTCGGGATGCGGCCTCGCGGCAGCAGGGGCAGCGGGTGCAGGGCAGCATGCGCCGCCTGCTGCAGATACTGTGGGTGGTGCTGACCATGATGTGCGTGCCCGTGCATGGGCAAGCCGCAACGAGCAGAAGCTGCTCGAAGCCTGTGCCAGTGCAGTCGGCGACGACGATGACATGGACCTCGACGAGGGCGCCAAGCGGGCCATCAAGCAGCGGGCCATCGAGCTGTTCGGCCAGGCGCTCAAGAAGATGCGCTCCACCTACTACGTCCCGCCGCAGTTGGGGTAGCCCGCAGCGCCGCCCGTTGACAGTTCTCACGGCGAATGTGACGAGCATGCTTGGGCTTGAGTTGCTCAGGCAATCTGATGAATGGTATGATTGTGACTTGGCGTTTGTACAAGAACACAAAGTACCGCAGCACCAGCGTGACGCGCAGGAGCAGGCGTTATGCAAGACAGGATGGAAGGCAGCCATCAATCCTGCCGTCCGTGCTGGCGCCGCTGATGGCGCCTCAGACAGCTTAGCGGGCCTATCTGGCGGCACCATGATAGCTACGCCTGCTCGCTATGGGCTCAGCCAGCTAGAGGGCCTCTCCCATTGCGTATGCCCAGCCAGAGCCTCGCTGTTGCATCTGAGCCATGGTCCGAAAGGAGGTTTGCTGGTTGGTACCATGTACTTGCACGACTCCGAGGACCTCAGTGAAAGGAATTGGCGTATCCTCTGCGACATGGGTCAGGCAGTCAAGAGCTCAGGTCTTCCATTCATCCTCAGTGCGGACTGGCAGGTGACGCCCGAGGAGCTCATGGAGAGTGGCTGGGTGGCAGGCGTTGGTGGCGTCGTGGTGGCCCCCAAGCTGGGCACGGTCAGGCCGTCGGAGCGCGTCATCGACTATTTCGTGATGTCGCCCTTCTTGGCGGCAGGAGCTCAGCTGACAGTCCTAGAGCACATCGCGATCAGCCCGCATCGTGCAGTTCAGGTTCGGCTTCAGGTTCCACGTCGGGCCCCAGAAGTTCGCGTCGTTCAGCAGCCGCGAAAGTTCCCAGTTCAAGCTCCCATCGGTTGTTGCATGCAGTTCGAGGGGCCCGACTGGGAGCAGCTTGCAGACAACATGCGGCAAGCCGATGCCGCTGTAGACACAGCCTGGGCTGCTTTCATCGAGGCTGCGGAAGCCAAATGGTTGAATGTTTTCGATGTTGAGCCGCGGCAAGCCGAATACTATCGAGGACGTGGAGGCGAACCTCAGCTGAGGACCCTTCAACCTCCGAGACCATGTTCGGTACCCTTTCCGCAGATCAACGCCGAAGCTACCTGGTGGCGAGGATTGGCACATGCGCTGCTGGACTACGACAACCTGCAGGGTGGCTGGGATGCTGTGACTCGTAGGCGCCGTCTCACTCGCCATTGCCGAGCCAGGTCCTTGCCGCGTCAGTGCCAGTTAGCGATCAATGTGGCTAGACTCGTCCTCCATGGCCTCCCTCTCTCCACACCCCACCTGCTTGTTTTAAGAACGCTTGCGCAGCAGCAAGCTGAAGTCGCTGTCCGAGCCAGCCAGCGAGCCAAGCAGCGGGGGTGGGAGGACTGGGTGAGCAAGCACAGTACTGAGCAGGGCGCGTCAGCTCTTTTCAGTTTCTCAAAGGTGCCTACAGGATGGACGCCTGACGACACGACAGTCGATCACGTCCCTTTAGGCTCAGCCGAGCAAATTGAGCAGCTCAGGGCTGAATGGGAGTCTTGGTGGTGCGTCTCAGAGCCCCGCCCTGCGCTTCCCTGGCCAGATCTCTCCCTCCTTGAGCCTCCCCCTCGTCCGTCCGTCCTTGAGCTGCTAGCAGTCCTCAAAAGCTACAAGCCCACCACGGGCCAAGGTTATGATTGCATAAACCCGCGGCATTTCTTGCATCTGGGCCTCGAGGGCCTTGACACGCTTTGCGAGCTTTTGCGCTTGATTGAGCTGAGGCTTGACTGGCCCACCGCGTGGGTCAAAGTTTTCTTTTTGGCCAAACGTCTAGGCGGGTTTCGGCCGATTGTTCTCTTGCCTGTGCTCGCGAGGGTCTTGCGTCGCTTACGGAAGTCCGAGATCCAGGATTGGCAGAGAAGAAACTTCAGAAGTTTTTCTCGGGGGGCCCGCGGCAAGGCCGCAGATAAGTGCGTCTGGGTGCAGGCCGCGTGGGCTGAGTGGGCTCATGGCCAAGGGGTGGCGTCGGGGACGGTTTTGGTTGACCTGAAGAAGGCCTTTGAGCTCACTCGGCACCACCATCTCGTGGCCGCCGCAGAACGCACTGGGTTCCCGATGAGATTACTGTACCTCCTTATCAAGCTGTATCGTCAGCCGCGGATTTTAGACATGGGCACCTTTGTGTCGGAGCCCATTGTTTCAGAACAGAGTGTCCTGCCTGGCTGCGTGGTTGCAACGATGATGTTACAGCTCGTCTTGTTACAGCCCCTAGATGAGGTGCGCAAGGTTGTTCGTGCGGTTTCACTCTCTACAGTTGTCGATGATATAGGTCTGCAGCGCTTCGGTGAAGAGGGGCGCGTCCATGCAGATCTCACTGCAGCAGGCTGCGAGCTAGCCCGTCAGTTGGAAAAAGTTGACTTGTTGGTGGCGAAAGATAAGACGCGTTTCATGAGCAGTGCAGCCCCTCTCAGGACGTCTTTAGAGGCCAGCCTAAAATGCTTGGGAGGGCAGCGCTCTCGCACTGAGAGGAACTCGGGGGTTGACTTCGGGTCTGGGCGGAGGTTGGGTCGCACCACTAAGCGAGAGCGTTTGGCTGCTGCCGTCGTCCGCTCGAGGCGTTTAAAGATTTTGCAAAAAGCTAAACGTCGCCGACTCATCGCTCGCATGGTCAAAGCCACCGTGGAAACCAGTGTTTCCTATGGCACCAGCGTCACTGGAACCAATGGGCAGGAGCTCCAGAGGCTTAGGCAGTTGGTAGGCAATCAGGGCCCCACCAGCTCCGCTTCCCTCACGCTCCGTCTCCTGCTCACCCCTGGAAGTCGGGTGGACCCTATTTTCAAGGCTTCCGCCGACCCGCGTTGTGCCATGCTGGCCGCGTGGAAGCAGCATTGGGTCCCCCAGCACATAATAACTCAAGGAATTCGGCAGGCCCAGCGGCGAGCTCAATCCAGCAAAGGCAGTCCGTGGCAAAATGTTGCGGTGCCCATCACGGCCTACCTGGCCACGCTCGATCGGTTGGGAATTCTGGCCGACGGGTTTAGTTCTTGGACCTTCCCCTGGGGCCTCACTATACAGCCGGCCACCTTTTGCGTCCATGGGCTAAGGAAGCTCATCGACTTGGCCTGTGAGGCCTGGCAGTGGAAGCAAATTTGTACCACGCTTGACTGCCCCGAGATTAAGTCAG